TGCCGCTCTAGGGGTGTAGATGATGGAGAGTCGCTAGGATTTTGCTAGGGAGGTTCTCCGCCGTTTTTTGTCTATGGGAGGGTGACGGAGATGTGACGGGAGACCATAGTATTATGAACTCAAGACAAAAATATGAGGAGACTATTAGGGGTCGTTTGGTACGGGGTATAAGTAAAAATAATACTGGTATAAAAATTTAATATCAGCTTATGTCTTGTTTGGTTATCAAATCTGGTATAAATTATCTCGGTATTAAAATTAATATCGGGATAACTTATACCTCTCAGGAGGTGGGATAATTAATGCTGGGATTATTATCTCCCGACAAAATAGCGAAATTCACCAAAATAGCCCTAAAGTCCTCAAACTCTTTTTCTACATCACTTTTCCCATTCTTTACCCAACATTGGTAAAGCAACGCCGCTACAAATTTCTCTGCTCTTGGGGAAGATTTCTTCTCTTCTTTGAATGCAGAAGCTATGTTGTAGTGATTGAAGAAGACATTATCTTCCATTTTGCTTTTCTTACAAGGTTAAAACTTCTATCAAAACCTATTTCTCTTATTCTTCCTTGTTATCATTTATAAGTTCTTTGTTGCATAATTTGGGTCCAGTCCTCTTCTCTATCAAAATAGTAAAATTCTGAACTCTTTTATGAATGGTACGTAATTGTTTTGTTGGATTTTATTTAGCAAATAATTGAGAAAAATCATAGCTTTTAAAACTCAATATGTAGTGTCGAAAGAGCTGAAATATATGAAAGAGTACTAGCTATATGTGAAAGAGCTGTGGAGGATTCTAGTGAGACATTTCTTAAGGGTATGACAGAAGTTATGAAAAACTTTATTGAAAGTCAAGATAAAAGAATGGGTGCCTTGATTGATAAGATTGAGAATCGTGACCGATCCGATATTCGTGGTGAAATTTATTCCATCCTTGAGTCTCCCGCATTTGAGTTGTACTCTGTACAAGAACGTATCAAAGCTACAATGATTCTCTGTGAAGATGTCAAAAAGATGGAATTATTTTTACGTATGGGTGAACTTGAGCCCCAAACAATGATGTTCATGATTATCAATGGCAAACTTTGAAGTATGGTAAAGTTGTGTATATGTGGTGGTACTTGTTTGATAGTTTTTGCTCGACTAACAACTTTAAAGTTAAACTGTAGTGCTATTTTTGATACCTCGGGTTGTGTCCATACTCTTTTGTTTATGACTGGTGGGTACGAGGATGCTATATATTTTGTGCAACTAATGTCTATTAAATAGCTTGACTCTAGTGTAAATGATAAGTACATATGTAATTATATTACTACTATGACAATTCTTCAATTTCTCTTTTTAGCTTAACTATGTTTTTGATGCCTCTAAATTCTATAGCTTTGGTTATGTTCTGTCCAACTTGTGGTTCTTGGTTTGAACCTCTAATGTGGAGTTTTTTTTAAATCACAATACATTCCATGAAAATTGAGAAGACCAAGAAATCAGTAATATTATATATGGCAATTAGCGATCTTACATCTGAAGGAAACAGGGAAGTAAGTTAGGAAGAAGATTTAGAAGAAGAAATCAGCAGATATATTTCAAACAATTGAAAACTAGAGCCTCAAAAAATTATTTAGTACTTGTTGATGTAAGAATTGGAAATTGACGTATGTCAATTGGATAAAGGAGTAAGAAGATGGAGGCTAAATAAGATGGAGGGTATTTTTGTAAACAAACAGTTTCGTCTTAGAAATTATGCAATGCATGTCATTTTTAATACAACATACCAAACAGTGGATTAAAAACAATACCAGTATAACTAATTCCAGTGTAACTAATCCCAGCATAACTTATCCCAGTAAAAGGGGTATTCAAACCAAACGACCCCTTAGAGTATTAGTATTATGAACTCAACGGCACTATTTGCTTTGAACGCCTAGTTCGATAAAAGTTGCTCGCTTTGAACGCCAAGTTCAATGAAAGTCGCAAAACCAATGAGAATTTGGCATCGCATAACAACTTAGTCCAACAATTGACAGAAAATGGCCTATCTTTTAGCATTTGGCACACGCAGCCTAAATTTAACATTTAATGATCTTCTCTCTCTCTTCTAATGGTCCAACCATCACCCTAAAAATAGGCTTTTATTTTCTTTTTGTTAGAATTCGAAAATCTTTCAAGATTTTCTCCCAAATCTTTACAATCTTTTTTCTAGGTTTTTAAATTATTTCTCACAAGCATTAAAAATATTAAAAATTATAAATATAGTTTGTATATCCAAGTGTATAACACAAATAAATTTTATTTTTTGTATATCATACTGTATAACATGTTAAATAACGTGTATACCAATATATACACCACAACTTTATTTTTCTTCTTTGCGTATATCAAAAATTTATTTTCCTTCGGTAGTTGTCTATAATTTATATCCAAGTGTATCACAAAAAAACTAATTATATTATTTGTATATCACATTGTATAATACATAATAAAACGTGTATAGCAAAATATATATCACAAATTTATTATCCTTCTTTGTATATATTAAAATGTATATCAAAAAATTGCTTTCCTTCATGCATATACCAGTGTATAATATATAATTTCTTATGAATACACACACATATGTATATGTTTGGACCTCGAAGAATTGTATGCACATATTAAGTTGTCGCTCTATATTAGAGCTTCGCTCCTCTGTACTTGATGGGTAATACTGAGTAAACCAATGGTAGAGTTAATCCACCATTTTAATCTCATTTGGAATAGGGAGGGAGGGAATGGGGGAGGCAGCAAATAAGAAGGGGGAGGGGGACCAGCGAACAATAAGAGGGAAGGCAGCAAACAGTTAGGATAATAAATAATAAAATAGGGTAGTTTTTAGGATTTGGCTATATAATGCCAATTATTTGGGGCTACCTTTGCCAAAACCTAACATAAGGGTAAAAAATTGTCAATTCCCATTATGTGTCATTTTTTCAAAAGGTTATCGGAGCCATAGGACGTGTGGGTTATGGGCCACCACGCTTCCGCTGTGGGGGAAGTTGTTGGCCCAAGTTCAGGTGAAGTTTTGAAGAATGACAAATGAACTTAGTAATGGACCAGGTCCATCATGTGAGGCACAGTGTTTATCAACCTATACATGTGAGATACACGTGAAGGAGATAAGTCTCAGTGATCAAGCAGCAATATCTCCTTAATTGATCGAAAAGGTTGCATATTGGATAAGGAGAGAAAGTCTCCTTATGAGAAGAGGACACAATCTGGATAAAGGATAGGGTTGGAGTTTGTGGTGTTCAAGGACTCAACTTCGATGGAAGATCAGCAATTGAGTCTCAATCAAACTCTAATTACTAACTCATTAAATAACAGTGATTGTTCTCTTTTACAGGTATTGCACAAACGCAGAAGTTAAACTAAATTGAGAGCAAAAGAGCGAGGCAATTTTGCAAGCAATTTATGTGAGATTCAAGTGTGCATCCTGAAGCTACGTGGACAAGATAGAAGAACCAATTCCATTGTGTCTTTCTTTTATTCTAGTTCAATTGTAGTAGGTGATTTAAAGTTGTACCTTTCAGCTTTCATAGAAGCATTTGTACTAGGTACTTTGAGTGTTCAAGTTATAGGCGAACTTGAAGTTGTCGCAACAGTTGAGGTTGTGTGCCACAACGGGATTAGAGTTTAATCCTTAGGTTTACAAGAGTTTTGTAAATGCTGTTTTGGCTCAGTGATTATAGTGGAAGTTTGGGAAAATCCTACTGAGTAGTTGGTCGTGGTTTTTTCACCTTTTGAGCCAGGTATTTTCCACGTAAAAATCTCTGTGTTCTTTATTTTCTGCATTTATTATTCTGCAAACAGCAGTAGTTAGTATACCTAGAAGAACCAGGTTCTTCTAGAGCGAAAATTGGGTACCACACAAATCATCCCCCTCTTGTGTGGTGTTGACGCTTAAAACATCAATTGGTATCAGAGTAGGTTATCCTTGAAGAGGCTAACACCTTAGGAAAAGATCAACATGAGTGTACCACCTAGGAACTGGGAAGGGCAATCCACTGCTAGGCCTCCACTCTTCGATGGACAATACTATTCTTGGTGGAAAAACATGATGAGGGATCACATCATTGGAGAAGACTATGAACTCTGGGACATAGTTACTGATGGTCCCCTAGCAACTACAAAGAAGAATGCTGAAGGAGTGGACGTTCCAAAGACAAGGGCTGACTGCACTACTGAAGACTTGAGGAAGTGGGAGAAAAATGCTAAAGTCAAGAAATGGCTTGTGTGTGGACTAGGTCCTGATGAGTACAACAGGATCCAAAGCTGTACCACTGCTAATGAAATCTGGGACACCTTGCAAGTGGCTCATGAAGGAACACCTCAAGTGAAGAGGTCCAGAGGAACACTGTTGTATTCTCAATATGAGAATTTTACTATGAAGAAAGGAGAAACAATTCAAGAGATGTATACTAGGTTCACTACACTGACAAATGAACTTAAATCTCTTGGAAGGATTATTCTTGAAGAAGACAAGGTTGAGAAAATCCTGACAAGGGTTCTGCCAGTCTCATGGGAAAGCAAAATCACTGCTATTCAGGAATCAAAGAATATTGCTACCCTCAAGCTGGATGAACTAATTAGAAACCTTACTGCATATGAATTGAGAAGGCAAACCATGAAGATGGATACACCCAAGAAGGAAAGAAGTCTGGCTCTTAGAATTGCTGAAGGTTCATATCTAGAGGATGATGAAATGGATATGATCACAAGAGATTTCAAAAAGTACCTTATGAGAGGAAAGGGTTCTTCAAGAGGTACAACCTTCAACAAACCAAGGGCTCCTGAGAAACAGACCAATGAGGGTTGCTACAAGTGTGGTAAGACTGGTCACATGATTAAGAACTGCCCTCAATGGGAAATTGAGTGGAAGAAAGAAAGGGCTGAACGAAGGAACATGAAGAAGGAACAGGTTCAACCAAAAAGGAACA